CCCCCCGCGAGTATCGCGGGTCCCCACCTCTTGTAATACTATAGATTCCACACTCCAAAGCAGCCATTTCCTCCAGAGGACCTAATCACGGTTGTCTGGAGATCAGTTGTAATTCCAGGAGATCTTTAGGCCCCACCTGGAGGTTGGCAACACTAATCCCCTTACTAATCCTCCTTTCTGTTTTAATCGTTTTATTATATAAGTGTATTTTTTAAAGTTGATCTGTAATGTCTTTTTAACTGTTTTCTGCCTTGAGAGCCCTAATTGGGTAAAAAGGCGGGATAAAAGTGTTTTAAATAAAATAAAAATATAGTTTCACATGACACAAACGTCCTGCCTGACTCCTGGCTTGTTTCCTTGTGCCCCCCTTTCTGACTCCCCAGCCACAGAGACATCTGGACAGAGCAAAGGTGATGAAGCCAGCATTTGTCAAGGCAAACCAGACAGAAGTGATTGTCTGTGAGCTGAATCCTGGCTTGACAAATTAACTATAATAAAAATAAACCATGGCTTTTTCTTATATTAGGACTGAGAACTGAAGTGGAAGAGTGCAGAGAGAGGTAGGGGGATTAACCCTTTCTTCTTTTCAGATACAAATCACCAAACCTGCTTTTTTTTTTTAATGGTACGAGAATACACCTGGATCCCCATAGCATCCCTGTATGTTTCTTACCTAGGTGAAAATGCAGCTTGAGGGAGGCAATTCTGAACTGAAAAAATAACCAGACAAAGTTTAACCAGTTTCTCCCTGCTCTGCCCACCCATCTTCCATTCAGACTTGCAGCCTACACAGGCTGCTTTGGGTTAAAAGACAACGTAGAGGAAAGCATCATACATTTGTGTAATGGAAGAAGCCGACTTGGGGAATGGGGGGGGGGACTGAAAGAGAAAGAAGGAAAAAATGCTTCCTGGCTTTGGGAGGTGGGGAAGTATGTGTGCACTTTTATGCCCACAGTAGCTCCTTCACCAGATTTTGTTTCCTTGTATGGGCAAAAACTAGTGCATGTCTTGTACCTATGTTTAATTCATTAGTGGAAAGGAAAAAAAGGAACACCCAGATATAGTCTCCTGATAGCTCTTGCAACTTGCCTATTTGTCTTAAAAACTGAAACAGGAACATAATTTCAACAGACAGCATTTATATTAATATTTTTACTTTTCTGCCCTTCTCATGATTTAGCAAAGCTGGAAATAGTAGATTAGCAGTACAGTCCTGGTCTGTGTGTGTGTGTGTGTGTGTATGTGTACACACACACACACACCTGGTGAATAATCTCAGGCTGCTTTCAAATCTAAAAAAAACAATATCGGCTGTTCTGGGCATATAACTTCATTCTGTTCTGTTCTGTCACAGACCTGCACCTTGGGTAATGGATCTCTTCTGGCAGCAGAGCTTGGATTCTTAGAGCACCCCTTTATTTCAGTGCTTCTTGATGTATCAGAGTGAAAGGAGCTCAGCGGTATAAGCAAGCATTTATTCCTTTAAAGGTGCAGATCTTCCTCCTCCACTGAAATGAGCAGAGGGTCAAACAGCACTAGAGATCCACATGTCCACACATACAGATATCGACATATACAGGTTTCTGGATTATAGTATCGGTGCAGAAAAAGTTACGGGAAGTGAAACCGGGTTACCACAGTGCTCGTTTTTTCTAATGTGTACCTCTTCTGCTCAAAGCTAATTCGTGGGACCACTTATATGTAACTAAGGTTACCACAGTGCTCGTTTTTTTCTCCTAATGTGTACCTCTTCTGCTCAACGCTAATTCGTGGGACCACTTATATGTAACTGATACATGTTATAGTCATTATTTGTGACATTTTTTAATACGGTGCTATAACTATGCTTGTGAGGGCTCTAGTACGTCTCCAACATGTCAAGATTGCAGCAGCACATCCCCTGGCAAACCTCTAATAAGCAGTCTGAACAGAGAATGCAGGCATTCATGAGGAGCAGTACACTTTTGCAATATCATGTGCCTGTCGCCACATATGTCTAAAACTTTCATATCACCCGATGCCACATCCAATACAAAGATTTCAGTGAAGGTAATTCACATTCATCTGTGATAATCAACTGTGCATTATCAAGCAGCACAGGGCAGTTCAGACTGAGATTAGAAGAGTAATGGACATCTAATAGGGGTGGCAGAACATCCGGACTGAAATAGTTCAGGAGGAACTCTTGCTTCCAAAGGCAAGAGACTGTCTAACATATTTCAACTGGGAAGATTTTTCATTTGTATCTGAATCTTCAGGCTTTTCATCTGTCTAAGACTCCAGCTCAAGATTAAAGTGCTAACATCTGGGTTCTAAATATGTTCAGTGAGGTAAGTAAGATGGGATATAGCACAGATGGACCACAGACCTAGCCCAATCAAGTTGTAACTATGGTCCTTATTTGGTTTGTTATATATCTTTCCGCTTCTGCTATGCCTATACTTCTGCTATTCAAGTAGAAGTATTCAACAGGTTTCCCATAATGTACAAACAATTCCACCAAACCACATTTGGAGACAGGAACGTCACTTTATTAGTACATTCTTGGAGAGCTGACTGCTGGAGAACTAATTATCACAAGACTAAATCTATACACAAGATATGCAAACAAAACTAGGGAAGGGCCTATTGCAACCGGGGACCTCAGTGTGGAATCTGAGTTTTAAGGCTTTGAGGGCAACATGAAGGGGTGAAAAACTTCTGGTAACCTCACAGTGGCAGCAATGGGATGGCTACTCACTACACAACACTCCTCAGATACATCCAAGGATAGTACAGACCACAGCAGGTGGGCCAGAGAGAATACTTTAGAAAAGAGCAATCAGTACTCAGTGCAATGACTGGGCCAAGACAATTTCACTCGGCCATTGTTCAAGTCCTGCAGTGAGAGAAAACTCAAGCCTCACTCTCAATCGAACCATCAAGTGCTTATTCATTTACCTGGTGCTTAATCCAGGATGTAGTGCACACAAGGAAAAGCAGAATTCAACACACACAAAAATTAAACACACACATACGCACACACACATTGATTACCTAACATTCTGTTGCTACCTGAATTAGAAATGAACTGAATATGTGTGGGTGGAAAACTAGAAGCCTGTAGGAGATGGTAAAACAGAGGAATTGACTGATTAAGACACTCCTCTGGCCCTCAGACTGGGAAAGATGATCACGTTTCAGGTCTGGAGAGGTTCTGCACTTTATCGCAAATTCCTTTTTCAAACAGGCATAGTTCTCCTTAAAGCTGTATTTGTGGATGTGATTTGTGCCAACTATCCATTTCTAGGGACACCCTTGCCTTTTCCTCATCCCAATCCATGCATGGCAGATCTCTCTCACACCTTTCCCAATCTGGTTTGCAACAGACCAGTTTGGCAAAGGAGATGAGCTACTGGAACTCAGACCCACACAGCTGTGTTAAAATCAAATCCTGACTGATTGTGGTCTATTGCATTATGGGTCTTCTTGGCACAATGTCTGGTCTTGGCCTTGCTGGTTTCCTTCTTTTGGCACCTTTCAGCTTTGTCATGAGTGTTTGATATGTTCCCATGAACTGGGAAGTAAAAGGTTCCCTTTTGTTTGTTTACTTTTTTGGGCCTCTTTAAGATTTCAGCCTCTTTGTCTTCTGTTGGCAGCCAGCAAGGCTTCTCCTTAAGTAATCTGTCTCGATCCGGTCGGACACTCCTTAAAAATTTCTTGAATATATTGGCTGTGAGGGAAAACTTTCTGTAGAACTCTTGGGATTTGCTGCCTGATAAAGTCTCACTCTTCTCCCCTTTCTTGTCTATCTCAGGCAAATCCAACCAGTTCCCAACCAAATCAGCAAAGATGTTGTCACCCAAGACTAGAGGCTGTCGGTTCCTGCTTTGAGACATCAGTGAAGAAGTCCAATCATTGGTCTCATCGGAGAACTGACACTCTTGGCATCCAAACTTACTCTCAGACAGGCTGCTTGTATCATGAGAAAACCAGTTTCTAGACATATGCTCACTGGAGGATTCAAGTGTCCTTGGTGAGTGGTACTCTGCTGTGCTCACTGTTGATGGAGGTCCACTGGCACGACAGCAATTGCCACTGCTGATGCTGCCACTAAGGGATGAAGTCATGTGCCCATGGGTACTATGTGGAAATGCAATATGGTAAAGTGGGCCAGTGGGCTGTGGCATCTGAGCAGAGCATAAAAAACCTGGAGAGCTACCACTCTCCAAAGAACTCTTTTCCAGCAGTTTCTCACTCTGCCTGCTGACTTCATGTCTTAACCTTGGCACTTCTTTCTTGCTCTGACAATACTGATGCTCGCCAATTCCTGAAACCTGGTTTGGGTTGCTCGAAATCTCCAGTTGCTCCAAGGCTGTCTGGACCTGGAGGAGTTTCAGCTCTTGCAGAGCACCCATCATGCAGTTCATCTGTTCATGCAGTCCGTCCCCAACCTCCTTCATGGATAGCTGTTGGGAGAAGAAAACAGCACCAAATTAGTGCTGAAGAAGAAACAGAAGAAAATAAAAAGAGGAGACCTCTGTTACCACTTGTGCTCTGTACCACTTGTGAGTTGTAAGTGGAGCTAAGTATCACACATTAGAGTGGATTTCCTTTTTTTCCCTTTTCTTTTTGAGGCACCAGCAGCTGTCAAACTGCTTCTAGCACATTTTGGTAACAGATACTATTTTTATTTCTAAAACCTGCTTATAAAAAACAATAATATAAGATTTGGCAAATAAATTAGGATTTCAATACCCTGTTTTTGCCTCTTAAGAACTGATGACATGAGAAACAAGACTTCATCAATTGCACTATGTTCTCATGACACACAAAGAATCACATGTATTATTACAAGGAATCACCCACCAAGGACTATTGCAGATGATATTTCAAAGAGGTACACCCAAATCTTTGCAGAATCGAAGCATCAAGCTTAGCAAATAGAGAAAAGGTTCTTTCCAAAAATCAGTCCTACCATGCTGTAACATTGGACTAGTTCTCACAAACAGCAGACAAAGGGGTAAGTCTGTATTTGAACTGTACTACTTCAGATTGCAGCTGGAGGTTCACATGGGTAAATCTTCCTCCATATAAAACATTCGCTACACTAGTGCACCAGGAAGAGGGGTAGCCAGCTATTTCTCCCTGTCCTGTGTCTTTAATGCACAAGGAACGTTTTTACACAGAGAAGCATTTAATCATGTAAGTCTCCCCAGCTGCAGTGGTGTACAGTCCAGGCACTACTTCATCTGTTGTTTATGATAACAGGGCCATCATGTCGGGCCTTACTACTATAATTCAGGCTAAGAAATGACAGAAAAATATAATCACATTGTTAATTAAGATAGTTCTTATTTCTTTAAAACTTCATGAACTAACTCTCTCTCTCTCTCTGCTTCTAGACATGACCATTGTTAGCATGCCTCTTTTTAAAATAATAATAATTGCATGCCATGTTAAACTGGTCAGCTATTTTCTCCTGCTTCTAAATCCTCCACACTCCCCTGTCACTGTACAGGATCACTTATGGATGAACTAGATCTCATTCCCAGTGCGGCATCGTCAAACAAATGGGCCATATTTCCTAACAGCTGCTGCTACTCACTCTTTTCTCCCTTCTGTTTAAGGGCCGAAGGAAAAGATGGAACTCTTTGATGTGCTGAGGTTTGCAGCCGGGTTCACAAAGGCACAGAAAAAGCCTGTAACTCTGAAACTGTTATCACCGTACAGTGTTCAAAAGCTCTTTGCAATCTTTTGGGGGAGCTCTCTTATGTTGCAGCTGTCCCTTTAACACCTGTGTGCACGGCTGGCAACGTCATCACCATGCATTATTTCCCATCATTTCGCTACATTAGCTCAGCCGCCTGCCGTTTGCTGTTCCCTTGGGTGCAGAGAATGCAAAATCTCACCAAATGAGATTTAAAAAGATGCTGTTCTGCAGGAACCTTGCTGCAAAAACAGTTAAATTGCACCCACAAACATGAAACTACTTCTCCAATAACTTAGGTCCAAAATCAGACGCAGGAAGAACCACTGAAGTAGAAGCTGAGAAACTGTCAGCCAGACTGCAAACTAATAGCTGTCAGGTTTAAACAGAGAATGCCTCCCTAACTTCTGAGAGCATGCACAAGTATCCCTTCTAATACAAATATGTCAACTTCAGCACACATAACATCCATATTCCTGTAATGAAACAGCTCTTATGTTACCATGCACAGAACCTCCTGGGGGCCCATCTGTTCTCTAAGCCTCAGCAAAAACTATCACCTTACCTCTTTCCAGATTTGCCGTTACGCCTCTCTCGTCCTAACCTTTCTTGCTGTATTAATGGAAGCCCCCTTTTTATCTGGAGCTTTGCAAAGCTGGCTTTGGAAACAGCTTGGGCCCTCATTGGACACTTCCCATCAAATCCCCTCACAGGCCAAGTGGTGTAATCAAGCGACGATGATTGACAAAGGGTCCTGCAGTAATGACTGGGGCTGATCAGAAAGTCAGCATATGCTAGATGGCTGTGCTGTTCACTTCATTGATTCAATTAACTCCCCCACATTGGGGGAAGAAGGGGGGTATCATCACAATGCATGCCTCATGTGACAAGGACCTATTAGCAATTATTAATATTTCAGAGGTGCTCATTCCCAGCTTCCATCTCAAGGGAGCAAATGATCACAAATGCAATTGTCTGGATTTTGCATCCTCACTACTGTTGCTTAGGTTTAATTCCCAGTTTGGGAAAATGCCCATCCCTATATTCCACCCCCCCAAGGGACCATATCTCAATGACAGAATATATGCTTTGCCATGTATGTGACTCCCAGATTTCACCCTTGACTTGTTCTTAGGCTGAAGGGTCGGGAGCAGTGTTCCCTCTAAGCTGAGTTAGTGTGAGCTAGCTCACAGTTTTTTAGCCTCCGGCTCACACATTTTTGTCTTAGCTCAGGAAGGATGGCTCCAGAGCAAACTAGTTTATGCAATAGCCAAACTGCTGGCTCACAGCTTTAATGCCAGTAGCTCAGAAAGTAGAATTTTTGCTCACAAGACGCCACAGCTTAGAGGGAGCATTGGTCGGGAGACACTTCTATCTGAGGCTGTGGTACTACCACACAGTTCTGAGCTACATGAGAAAATCAGTGGGATAAAGTAGCTAGGTGTTGGTGAGTCTATAGAGACCTAAGTTCAAATCCCTCCTCAGTCCTGAAGCTCACAGGAGACCTTGAGCTAGTCACTGTATTTCAAACAAACTTAACTTCATATGGTCATTGTGAGGAGAATGGAGGGATCACCTCCATTGTTCTGTGCTTCTTTGAAGAAAGGTGAGATAAAAATGTAACTATAAATATAATAGCTTTGGGGAGAGGCTGTGCCTTAGTGGTAGAAAGTCTCCAGTTGAATCCCTGGTATCTTCAGTAAAATAACATTTGCTTTGTTTGCATTCCCATTGCCAACAGGCAACACAGCATCAGATCATAAGCACTATTACACATTATCCTTGCCCAGTATCTAGCCATTTCCCACCTATCTCTCCCTTATTATAAAAGAGTAGTGGGTGCCAGAATTCTAAAATGCGCCCCGTTAGTGTATGGGCGGAAAAAATGCCACTCAGAAGAGCTGCCTCCAATGACTGGCTCCCTCAGCGAACCTGGCCTGCCATTGGCTGGGTGGCTGGGAGGGGAGGGAGCCAGTCATCTCAGCCAGCGTCTCCTGAGCGGCCATCTTCCGCACACACAGAAAGCGCGTCCCGGCTTCCCCCCCCAAGCTCCCCTCCTGGCCGGCGAACGGGCCTTTCCGCCCCCCTCCAGCCCCACTCCTGCCCGGCGAACGGGCCCAG